AGCTTAAGCATCCTCCAAGTTATTGAAAATTCCAATGGAAAAAATGGGGGCCCGTTTTCGGTAACTAGCGCCAATCGGCTCCATGTATTCGAGTGCTCCGTTGGCCGCCATTTTCTCATGAAAATTTTAAAAAATCGTTTATAACTTTTGAATAAGACAAAAGTTAGTTTTTAAAATTTTCTATCTGGCTTGGACCGCTAAGGCTACATTTGCGCGGAAAATGAGCGTTCGACAATGGGTAAATTATTTCCGCGGCAAAAACAAAAACAAAGAAGTGTGTGTGTGTGTGTGTGGGGGGGGGGGGGGGGTGTTTATGTGTGGTTGGGTGGGGAGGGGGGGGGGGCACTTTGTGTCATTGTCACTTTCACCTCAAGGACCGTGGTAAAAAAAAAAAAAAGTCCTACTCCTCGTGGAGCATTATATATTTTCTCTCTTTATGTGTAGAGTCAAGGTATATGTAGCTGCATTTTAGATTATATGCATGTTAGCTTATCAAGACGCACACGTTTCAAACGCCAGAAGCAATGCTTTTTCCTCCGACAACCAAATCTTGTATGAGCTACTTCGTGCGGCATATGAACAATGCGCGAAAACTCGCTCTTTCCTCGAGGTAAAAACGAGTACAGTAGTAAACTTGAAATTATAGTTTAACTGTGCTTTACGAATTATGCTCTTTATTTCATAAAAGTTAAAAATGAGTATAATTCACTGTATTGTTCCTGATAAAGTACGCAATCCATTTCTATTATTGTTATTATCGAATAACTTCGACGTTTAGGCTAGTTGGTCTTCCATGGTTAAAAATTAAAAACAGCGCAAAGACGCGGACAAGGACGAGATGGTAGACGAACAACCACGCTGACTTACAACCGAAAGTATAAATACTCTAACGCGAAACAAACACACTATGAGACAAAAAAATGGTTAATTTGAAAAACAAAATAGTTGTTATAGTCATTGACCGGCTAAGAACTGCAGGCAAGGTCACGGAGTCATCCCGGCTCCAGCGTGAGCTTCCAGCCTTCGACGACGCTCAGACGTCTCGTGAGCCTCGAGCGCATGCACGCGCAACCAAAAAGCACGTTAGAAGGCAACGCGAGTGTGCTGGTCATCGGAGAGAAACACCCTGCCATTCTCATTCTGCCAGTTCAAGTTCGTCTGCTTCTCGCTCATGGTTTGCGGTGACGTCACAACGCCGAGCTCTGATTGGCTCGGCGTTCTGACGTCACCGCAAACCCCCCGCAAGAAGCAGACGAACTTGCGCTCCGTATAGTTTTACTCCTTATATACGAGCCTGGATTGCCACTGTCGTGTCGGTGTGTCGTTTCACCTCACCCAGAGACTGGCTGGGGTAGTCCATGACGTAGGAAGCCGAGTCGGCCAGCAGTCCCGTCATGAGGAAGACGGGCTCGCGCCTGCAGGGTTCCGGGCACGGCCTTCGACCCCTGGGAATCCGATGCATCTCGATGACGTAGTCGTCTTCGGTGACCACGTCGTGCTGCTCAAAGGGGTAGCCCTGGCCCCTGATCAAATATTCCTGGGGTAAAAGACGGGCGCCGAGTATACGGTTACGCGTGAAACTCAAAAAAAGTTTAAGAAATTGATCAACATAATTAAAAAAAAAGAGAGCAAAATAGACGTGACAAAACGGGAAACTGCATGAGACAGGAGGTTTTACTTGTTTGATTTTCGCCTATTTTCACTTTGCTTTTTTTCCGTTCATTATGCGGGTCTTTTTTTTTTTTTTTTTGACCGTTTATTAATTAGCGCACGCTCTAAACAAAATCCGTTTCTGAAAGGTCCTTCAACGCCCCAAGAACTTTTTCAGCTCGTGAAGAATGGTTTCGCCTTAAGTACTATTGCCCCTGACGCACTAGAAAGGCAACTAGGCGATGGAGAACTCTTTCGCAATAAAAAGTAAGCTTAAAAGAAACGTTGATAGGTTTTTAACCACCCCTTTTAGGGGGCGCTTAAGATAAGTTTTCTAGTGCCCAAAATATGGACAAGCCGAAGAACCCCCAAAAGTTCTTTTACGACCATATTTTCTTTTCTTAGAGTGCAGCTGTCTACTAGATTAAGATTCCAGAAGTTCTAAATCTGTTGTTTCCAAAACGCCAAGAAATTGAAGTTTCATTTTTTAGACAAACAGCAGGACAGCCCAAATGTGTCAATCTTTCAAAGCCCCATGCCAGCTAACTTCGAAAAGTCCTGTCGTCTTTTTAATGTGTGGATCTATCAATAACAGGTGCCGATGTCGGCCACAACGCTGGCGTGCTCAATCACTTTCCCAAAAATATTTAAAGATAATCTGAAATAAATTGAAGAGCTTATACACTGAGAGTAATCAAAACTGGTAGGAAAAATCTGAATGAAGTTTCCAGGACGCCTTATATGGCGGCACTTTGTAGTGGCATACATAGAGGCACCTTCACAGTGGGACTATCGCCTCGAAAGTGTAGACCTTCAAAGTAAATTACAGTAATATATTATTAACAAACTCAACATGTATGTGAAGGATGGTTTCCGAAGTGTGCCTTTTTTTTTTTAAAGCCCAGCTCTTCGGCGCCTTTTTCCGGCTTGAGCGGCAACGCCGTCGCCGTCGGCGTAACCGCGCGTTGCATTATGGACGTTTCCCATAATGACGTCACACGTGACGTCCCGAGGGTTACCCACGTGAGGGTTACCCTCACGAGGGTCACGTGGGTTACCCTCACGAGGGTCAACCTCGTGACATCACACGTAATGTCATGTGTGACGTCATTATAAAAACACGTGACATATGACGTCACGTGACGTCACAAGCGTCTAGCATTGCGAATATTCCCGCTAAATTTAGCGGGGAAGGTAGAGGGGCATACCCTCCACTCCGTACCCTCCCCGCCTCCTCCTCAAGAGCTGCGCTCTAATTCGGCGTTACAGAAAACTGTAAACGTCTAATTTTTTTCCCTTCATAAAATGGCTGTTTTTCCCAGCGGTGAATGAAGTCATAATATATTCCCCGTTCATTCACTTTTTATATATATATATATATATATATATATATATATATATATTTCCGATTCCTGTTTGTGAAGGTCCTCTTTTGTCAGGACCCCTTTTTACACCGTCCTCCGGGGTATTTGCTCCCGTCACGCGGCCCACAAGGTCGAACGATTCCGATTTCCGAGTATCCTATAGCCCCGCGCCGTTATGCATACATATACGTACGACCCGCTATTTCCGGGTCGGAATAATGATTTCGCCGTTCACGGACTACAAACACCGCCGGAGCAACAAACCGAAACTGACACGGATACGGAACTTTCTTTTATGTCCACGCGTTGGAAAGCGAAAGCGGAGCGGACGCTCCCCGAGACCACGGAGTCGTCGAAAATATGGTAATTTTTTGAAGAGAATCAGATATTGCGGTTCCGCGCTCATTATTTTTTTATTCACTTTTCGTCGGCTCACTGACGCAGTCTGTTATTTTCTTCATCTTTTATTTTTAAGTTTATCTGCCGAAAAGGTTATTCTGAACTTCTGAACCTTTCGGTCAAGCTCATAGTTTATAAAAAACAAAAACTTGCCAGAACGATATGATGGGCTAAAATTAGTTTGACATTCATAGAGTTCAAATAGCTTTAAAAAACGTGCTCTCTTCTTTCGCGCTATTTGCATTATTGGGGTGCCGCAGGCTGTTCAACTTCCCCTAGATGATGTCTTAAATAAATCCTGAATCTTTGTAGAACCCAGAACGTAATTTCGTTTCTGTTTCAGTTCGTTTACAGGAATAAGTTAACCAAGATAAAACCAGACACGTACATGTTACTGAAATGAAGTAACTAAATACAGTTACTCATCAGTCACTCAAAAAGTAGCTTAGAAATACGTCACGGGTTACAGCGATTCAAAAGGAACGCGTTACCTCAGCTTGAAAGTAAGGCGTTAATTTCTCGTTCTTCCGAATTCGTTTCTATGAAGCAGTTGCCGCTTCCAGTATTCCTCGTATGGCTGATCATCCCTCGCTTTTTAACGCGCCCATTCAGGGATAGCTGTGGCTATACTGACGTACCGCGTGCACATCTCTATGTGGACTGTCTAGCGTTTTTTTGTCGTGTAAACTACAGGCACAAACTGGAGTGAGAACTGGTTACTCGTTACTTCATAAAAAAAAACATTAGTATTTTTTGTTTGTTTTTAAGTCTCTACAAATCGCTGCTTCGTTTACGAAAAAAACTATACACGGTGTCAACCATTCCGTGCTACATTGACAAGGTATGCTTTAGCGTACGCGGTGCTCCAACTCTGTCAAAGCACGCGACGCCGAAAGGCACTTATCTGTCTAGGCGAAGCCTTACGTACAAATCTAAAAAGAAAAAAAGAACTGTTTTTTTTTTTGTTTTGTTTTTTTTTTTACCTGAGAAAAGAATGGTCACATGCGTCGAGGCAGCCATACACTAATGCGCTGCTCACAAACATGCCCAATTCGCACATATCATGTGTCGGCAGTGCGCATGCGCAGAAAACAAATTCGGGAGGTGCGACGCGTCTGCGCATGCGCAGTGCCGACAGCAGCGCCACCACAGTGGCTTGACGTCAGAGAGTTGAGTTGTTCTAGTATTACTCACGACTGACAGCTTGAGGAACGCAGTCCATGGCCAATTACGATCACGCTTCTGGCTTCCTGATTGGGCCTTGAGCATTCTTATCTACCGAGTGTCGTAATCTTATTGGTTGAGGAACGATTAAAAAAAAGACAATCGGGATTGGTCAATTTCTGCGTTTTTTACTTTAAAGTGAGTTCGGAAGCCTAGAAGCGCTTCGGTATACCTTCTTTTTGGACAAAGCTGCGAGCTGTTCTTTTTCCTGGTTCGCGCTCCTTGCGTTCAATTAACAAAGTCTCCAGTTTGCGTTGGCAATACTTATAGTATACGTGCCGACATGACTAATTCGTCGAGAGTACCCTCGTTAGCTGGAGTAGTCTACGTGCCGCAGGGCTCGTATCCTATTCACGAGATGGAGTCCGCTCAGGTGCTATCGCATACACTGCGGATAAATTACGGCAGAAAGGCAGAAAACTCCGGAAATCAGGAAAAGGAAAAAAAATATAGCCCAGTGTATTGTTTTCAACATACCACAGCAAAGGTTACGTTTCTCACTCGAGAACTTCAACGAACCATGAAATCGAATTTCATAATGGTAGGTCCAATTTTCGCTAATTCCATAGAAAACAAACACTCGCAAACAAAAATGTATTTCTTCTTTTCTTTTCTTTTTCTTTTCGCAAGCTAAGCAATACGGATATAGTAAAAATGGGATCCATCGTTATGCAAATTCATTTCATGGTTCGCTTAATCCTCCGGCGCCTATTCTTCAATGCCCCAAACAATCTCAAACAAAGGTCGAAGAACCCGCCGGTCTGGTGAAAACGTTCGGGGCCAACAAAACAGTCGTCGAATTTCCCTTTTCATCGAATTACTCTTCCCGTTCTTGCAACCAGCCTGCGTCCTCTTCGTTCTTTCGTCTCCATCTTGAAATCGAGTCGAGAAACGCGTTCCTCGTCCAACCCACACTCGAATCGCAGAGTTCCTTCAGTGAGCAAGACTCTTCTCTGCATTATATACATATACCTTTGTTCCTTATTTCTTTTATATAACGAAAGCTTTGTTTTTGTTGTTTAACAACACTTTGATAGCTCTAAATCCCGGCGGTTTCGAAAATCTCAGAGAAGCGACAGCAAGGGAACGTTCACCCCAAAAGTTTTTCTTTTTTTTTCTTTTTTTTTTTTGCTATAGCTATAGCTATGTATACCGACCAGTCGGGGGATTTGGATAAAAGAGATGTCAGACGACGACGTTGACAGTCCTGAGCCACCCGGGGGCTTAAAACCGTCTTCGTATTTTCATTCCTTTTTTTTTTTTTTTTCTGACCTTCGAGTGTTCCCTAGAATGAACGTCTTAAATTGTTGTAATAACAAAATTTTAAAAAGAGGGGGGGGGGGAAAAGGGGGGGGGGATGCAAACTTAAGTCAAAAGGGCTAAGAATAGCAACGTTGGGATAGACGAAACTCCCAATGCACAAATGTTCAAAAAGCGAACAGATTCACGCGTGCGAGAAAGAAATAGTACTCTGAATCTGTGTGTTGTGCCGTCCTTCGTCTTTTCCCCAGTATTGAAAGTTTGTCTTAAATTATGTTAAAGCATCACCAGCTCGTTTGCGCCCTAACGTTTTGTTCATTAACTCTGGTTCGTTTACGAGAACAAAATTCGCCTCCTTTAGCAAGAGGATATAATACAGTATAGTTTCGAAATCGAGTATCGCTGTACACAAAGAAGCGCACGTTTTCCCACGCCGGGCGTAAGGTGCTGCGCATGCGCAAAAACGAGGGCCGGCTTGCTAGAAACAGCGTCTCAGCTAAGACTGAGTGAAAAAAAAAAAAAAAGAAGCGCGGCCAAAGTCAGTGCACGCGGCTGAGCGGGACTCAAACCGCGTCTCAAGACGCTCGCGCGCCCCAGCCTTTTCTGTGCTTTCTCTTTCACCCAGGCTCAGCTGAGACGC